TTTCTCCCCCCCCCCATGCGCCCGGGGCCGGCTCCGGCACTGCGCATGCGCCACGTGCCCGGGGCCAGGCCAGCCCTGAGCACTTGGCGGGCGCCGAGAAATGCCCCCGCGGGCGCCATGGCGCCCGTGGGCACCGTGTTGGGGACCACGGGGCTAAATGATTTCACTAAAGCCAAAGAACAGAGACACGAATGTCTCTGAGTGCTCCTGTTACCTAGTCTTGTGCTCAAGCCACTAGCTCAGATTCTTTCTGCTGTACCTCCCAGTCTTTTAGAACAGTGTTTCTCAACCTTTTTTTATAATTTTTTTAAAAAGGGGTTCTTTATAAGTACCCCCCCAGTACCTACAGTTTTCAGACACAATTTTTTTTCTACCATTGCAACACATTTGTTTAAATAACTTAATTGTAGCCAGGCAGGCGATGAAATTTTTGGGTGTAAAAAGTACAAAAACAATAAAGCACTATAAAACTTAAAACAAAAATTCAGTTTTCTCCAAATTTCAGTTGTGTTGATCTCCCCCCCAGATTTCTCTCAAGTACCCCTAAGAGTACTTGTACCACTGGTTGAGAAACACTGTTTTAGAACACCTCTGGTTTGGTACTGCCATGTCTGCAGCACAATTGGTCCAAGCTAACGAGTTCATGTGTAAACAGGCAAGGACAGGATAACAATGTCAAGTGCTTACCTGAAAGCAGCAGAAGTGATACAGCAACTTGAACCATTTTAAGAGGCATCAGGCATAGTCTGGAAAACATGCTTCTTGATTAACTACAGGTCTTCGGGCAGTTTTGTACTTTGTTATCTTTAGATTTTATAAATCATTCACCAGCTACGTGTCAGTAGTTGGTGTAGAGAGAGGGCAGGGTACAGTGCTTAGTTCAGATTTGTCTTATATGCCTCTCTTTGTGCCCTTTGCACTTTGGGAGCTGGGCTTCTAACGTGCCCCAAAAGTTATATTTTGCACGTAGACACAAAAGTAATTTTGTGACATGAAATAGCACATCAAGCTCATTTTGTGCAGGGGCTATGCTTCAGTCTAATATTTCTCATAGAGTCCAAGGCCAGAATGAACCATTATGATCATCTACTCTGACTGCCCATGTAATAGAGACCGTAGAACTTCCTCAAAATAATTCCTGAGCAGAGCTTTTAGAAATACATCCTATTGTGATGTGTTATAATCACAGTTAAAAAAATGTATGTCTTATTTCAATCTAAATTTGTCTAGCTTCAACTTCCAGCCACTGGATCATGTTATATCTTTCTCTACTAGACAGAAGAGCCCATGATTAAATATTCATTCCCCATTTAAGAATCTGCAGACAGTAAACAAGTCACCCCCTTTTTTAAGCTAAATAGATTGAGTTCCATGAGTCTATCACTGTAACGCATGCTATCAAAATCTTTAATCATTCTCCTAGCTCTTCTCTGAACCCTCTGCCATAGATCCACCTCTTTCATGAAATGTGAACTCTTAAGCTGGACCCAGAAGTCCAGCAGTAGCTGTACCAGTGCCAAAAAGAGGTAAAATAACCTTAGCATTCCTCCTCAAGATTCCCTTCTTGTAAATCCAAAGATTGCATTGACCCTTTTGGCCACAGTTTTGCACTGGGAGCTCTTGTTCAGCAGATTATTCACAACAACACCCCACTCTTTTTCAGTCACTCCTTCCCAGCGTAGAGTCCCCCATTCTGTAAACGTACATTCTTTGTTCCTAGTTGTATATATTTGCATTTGCTACATTAAAATGCACAGTTTACCAAGCAATCCAGATCTATAAAGGTGTCAGCAACCTTTCCTCTTCTTTATTTACCTCACCTCCAATGTTTGTGTCATCTGAAAACTTTATCAGGGATTATTTTATCTTTTCTTCCTGGCCATTGATAAAAATGTTAATTAGCATGGGCTCATCTGGATAGGAACAGGTGGGGCTTGTATAAAGCCAGGTAGTTGGGGGCAGAAAGAGCTATAGCGAGGAGGTCTGCAGTCCCTCTCTCTGCGGCTAGGATCGGAGAAGGTAACTTGGCCCAGAAGGAAGGACATACCCAGAGGATTGTGGCAAAGGAGCCTAACAGGCAGTGTAGGAAGCAGTCCTGGGAAAGAGCATGTGGGACAGTGCAAACATTAGTCACTAATTTTGTAGTCCCTAGGCTGACGCCCCAGGCCTTGGTTCCCCTATCAGCCACTGGGGAAGAGGCACCAAATTGGAAGACTGCCTGGGACAGGTAGGCCAGAGAAACTTGGATACATACACTCCAAAAAGAGGAAAACTAAATTGAGCTGGCCAGAGGCCTTAGCCATAAAGAGAGAGTACTCTGTGTTGCAGAGAAAGAGAGGCACAGCGAGGCATGTGAATCAGCTGCAGGAAGAGGTGTTAGACTAGCAATGCTAACCCCAAGACCAGCTAAAACAAGGCATTCTAATAAGGAGAGCACTGCATGACACCTAGCCATTTTCTCATCACTATTTCCTGCAGTCTTGAAACTTGGTCTTCCTCATAGCTGGCTCATTTCTGAAGTCAGTATCTTTCACTCATCACTTTTTCTCATATTCCAACATTGTGACACATGTAGCAATTATCAGCATTATAGTTACCTCATATGCTGACTTTCATTATCAAAATGTCTTTATCCTTCCAGATCTTGCAGGGTTTTCTGAATGCAGTAGCAGCAAGTGTGATTCTTCTTTATCTGTCTTCCTCACAATTCCCTCTTATACTAGTCTTCCTAGGCACACACATTTTCTCCACTTGATCCAGTTCTTTGTTGCTGACTTTACCTTTTCCTCTTTTCTTCTGATTCTTCTCCTTGATGATCCTAATTTTCTGCTTTTCTATTAGTTATGCTCATAAATCCTCTTTGGTCAATATTCTCTGTGAGTCTATGATTAGTCACTGTCTTTTCACATAACATGACTCCTTCCACTTAATCTCTCAGGGCTGTGAGGTAGTGGTACTATGAGGAGAATTTCCACTCACAAAGTAGGAAGGAAAACACAACAAATACCCTCGGGTTCGGCGTTTTGGGAAGCTGTGGGGGTCTTCCAGAACTTGAGTTGACTATAGCTTATTAACTCATCACCACTTGAGCTTCAACACCCTATGCCCACCAGGAGCCATCTTATTTGAGCTTAAAGCATCCCTTAACTCATGCTGGAGATTCTCTTGTGGGCAGGAGTCAAGCTGGAGCCAATTCTCCAGTTCTATCTTGTTCTAACACTGCAATGAACACAAGCCCTTAGAATCAGTGTTCAGCATGTCTAAAATGTTTAAATGTACACTGAGGGCTTGTTTGCTTTCAAACATCTATAGCAACTAATGCGGGTGCTCATTATTACCTATTTTTCTTAGGCGACTGTATAAACGGATGAGCATGAGTGCTGTGTATTGGTTCAAGAGTATGGATGTTGGGGGATCACTGTGCTGGAAACAAATACAAAGAAGTCTCTCCCAACACGGTGGAGCTTGCCATCAAAAAGATAAGCAACAGATGGATGATGCTATTTTATGTTAGCATTTTGCAAAGTTTGTTAAAACCTGACATCTTTAAAGGGCCTGCTTGGGGTATGCACTCCACAGCCTAAATTTTGGCAGTTTTAAGATGTTCCAGTTTGGGCACTATACATTTGAACACCCCAAGTCACTGAGAATGTTTGGGAAATATGCCCCCTATGAAATTGAAGGTTTGATTCTAATCCATCTTATAAATGAGAATTGACTTTATTTTTTTGTTCTCATGTTCAGATTCTGCTGCTGTGAATTGAAGGGTTGGAACACCTCATTAATGGGGAAATCAACAGCCATTTTGCCCAGTCAATTGTTTGCTACTTTGACATGCTATATCACCAGAACATAAAAGAGCTGCTTCTTCTATACGGACAGCACATGTCACTTTTTTTTAATCCTCTTCAAATGAGCTGAAGGGCGAGAGGAAGGGTGTAACAGTTACTGCCTTTCATGTGTCTGGCTACGTCTACACTGGCCCCTTTTCCGGAAGGGGCATGTAAATTTCACGAGTCGTCATAGGGAAATCCGCGGGGGATTTAAATATCCCCCAGTAGGAATAAGAGCCTCCGGAAAAGGGCGCTTTTTCCGGAGGATCGGGGCCAGTCTAGACGCTCTTTTCCGGCTTTTTTAAAAGCCGGAAAAAAGCGGCGGACATTTTTATTTAAATGCCGCGGGGGATATTTAAATCCCCCGCGGATTTCCCTACGACGACTCATGAAATTTACATGCCCCTTCCGGAAAAGGGGCCAGTGTAGACGTAGCCAGACACATGAAAGGCAGTAACTGTTACACCCTTCCTCTCGCCCTTCAGCTCATTTGAAGAGGATTAAAAAAAAGTGACATGTGCTGTCCGTATAGAAGAAGCAGCTCTTTTATGTTCTGGTGATATAGCATGTCAAAGTAGCAAACAATTGACTGGGCAAAATGGCTGTTGATTTCCCCATTAATGAGGTGTCCCAACCCTTCAAAGTAAGAATAAGACCCTCCGGAAAAGGGCACTTTTTCCGGAGGATCGGGGCCAGTCTAGACGCTCTTTTCCGGCTTTTTTAAAAGCCGGAAAAAAGCGGCGGACATTTTTATTTAAATGCCGCGGGGGATATTTAAATCCCCCGCGGATTTCCCTACGACGACTCGTGAAATTTACATGCCCCTTCCGGAAAAGGGGCCAGTGTAGACGTAGCCTCTCTGTTCACTTCTGATCACAAGACTGTAAGATCCTTGGGGCAGTAACTTTATATCCTGTGCTTTGTGCATAGCTCGGCAGTGTCACTGACTGGTGATAGGCTGGAGAGCAAGGCCAACCTGCACTTATCCCCCAGTTATGGCTCCTTTCTCATGGAGATGGGCCCGGTTCTCCACTCTGGGCATTACAACTAGGTGCATGGGGTCACAGCACAGGTACTGTGCAGTTGCTCTTTCATAGGCAAAGTTTAAGTGAGTGGGATTGCAACATGGTATATGGGGTTACAGTGCCCTATGCCATGACACAGTGTGCAGAGTGAAGATCTGGGTCTAATCCCATGGACGGAGCTTCCACTGTGGAGTAAGTGCGAGGCGGACTCGCTCTCCAGCACCATGTGAAAATTTGTGCAATGTGCCTCCTTTTGACTATTACATAACATACTTGAACAGCATCAGCAATTGCCATGAAAAGTCCCCATGGTGCAAAGAAATGTCTTAGCTCCACAGCCTCTATTATCACTGTGTGGCCAACTTTGTGGTTTGTTTTCTGTTAGTTGCCATCATCACACTGTATGAAGACACACACACTACTTTTTAGATTCTATGACTGACTTCACTATCATTGAAGTCACTGACTTCTACAGGAGCAGTCCCGCCATCTTTGTGTAAACAGCAGAAGTGCAACAATGAAATATGAATGCTTTGGACTGCAATATTTTGCTGTTTGGTAAAGCTTCATGGAAAGTTTTGTAAAGTTTTACAGAATTGTTGGCAAGAACACGTTAATGAAAGACTTCCTCTCTCATTGTTTATTTTGCTTAGGTTTTGGAATACTTGGTTAACAGATGAACTACATCAGAGTGACCTGGAATTCTTCAGTATTGTTTTTATTCAAATTTTAACGGAGTCCATTTTAAATACCACATTTCTGAATGTTATTACATGCCATTTGAAATACATTTTTTTTAAAAAAACTAAAAATTACTTGGACAGATGTGCTAAACCTTAGGAAAGCTACTGGAGCAGATCATTGGCATTTAATAAACATAAAAGCTGAATGTTAAATCAAACAAATACAGGTTTTTTTCTTTCTTTTTATGAATGCAAGGATAGGTCCTTTTATTTAAAAGGGCAATTCTGACCATTTTATTGTGAACAATGTGTCCTTTTAAGTATAGTGTAAGAAAATTGAAGGCTTCAATGGTCTAGATTAGTTGACATTGGGGCTGAAGGAAGGGCTCTGTGAAAACATTGAGTGCTGCAGGGCAGAGCAATGGGCTAGAACCCTTGGGTGTGTCTAGACTACATGCCTCCTTCGACGGAGGCATGTAGATTAGCCAGATCGGGAGAGGGAAATGAAGCCGCGATTAAAATAATCGCGGCTTCATTTAAATTTAAATGGCTGCCCCGATCTGCCGATCAGCTGTTTGTCGGCAGATCGGGGGAGTCTGGACGCGATGCCCCGACAAAGAAGCCTTTCTTCATCGACACAGGTAAACCTGGTTTCACGAGGCTTACCTGTGCCGATCAAGAAAGGCTTCTTTGTCGGG